TTTTTCTCATGTGACTATTGACTCTTGTACATAATTTGTTAGTCATTATTGTTGTCAACTATTAATATTTTTTTTAGTTATATCTTAAAGAGTAATTCTCATCTACCTGTTATATACGCTCTAACAAATCACTTGCAAGAATTAGTTCCTAAATTAAGTTTTACTCAACAACGTAATTTAGAATTTGAATGGAATATCAACATGATTTCGAGCTAATATGGTTTTAGAAATTCACTAGCATGCTTTTATAGTATGGCATAACATGTAAGATTACGTATAGCATACTAATCTTGATAAAATCTTCAACCATTTTATTATAGACAGAATTTTGTGTGTATAGATAATAGTATAACATAATATTTTCTTATATCTTATCTTTTTGTTCTATGTTAAGTCGACAGAGAATGACGAAACTTATTTTTTATGTTGTAATTTCATATTCTTTCTCAATACACAAAAAATTGCATGTTGATTATGGCTAATTATGAGCCACATAATGCAAATAGTGAAATGGATATAGATAAACAAAATAATTAGTCTAAAAAGTTAAAGGGTAATGAAGCTCAAATTTCAAAACCTCAAGCTTTAATATCATATTAAATAATAAATTAGATGAGCTTTTAGAAGTTTAAGACAATAGAAAGTATTATTAGAAGTTATCATTTTTATTATATTTTAGTACAATGTATATACACGTCAGTTTAATTATTATTTTATTTCTCTTCTCATTACTGAGAGACAGGTCACTTTTAATTTTAGATAACGTATAGCTGTTTTTTTTTTCTTGGATGAAAGTTGTCAAAAGGGGCATATACATATAAAGAGAAGCAAATTTGTAATTTTCGATGTCCTTCACGTGTTTTGTCTGATAGAGTATTAGGTGACCCATTAATTTAGCAAATATAAATCGGTCACGTGTCAAACATTCGTATTTTCTTCAATTTTTTATTTAGAATTTAATGTTATATTCGGTAGTATAATTAATGCTGCTATATCTGGCCAGTGTTAAGAGGATACTATACTCAGACATGTGAAGATTCATTCATAAATAAGATTGAATTCTAGTTCTCTTTAAAAGGCTCAGTTCTTTTTAATTTACAAAGTTGAAACTGAGATTTGTGATAAGCCAATTTCAAAACTCTAGCATTGAGAGAAAGAAAAGAAAATGAAGCGCAATAAGAATCAAGTATGCAAGAAAAACGCTGACAAAATGGTTGCTAAAACAAAGCACAATTCTCTGAAAATTGCACGAGGTATGTTTTACTTCTAAGTAATCCCTTTTCATCTTTTTGTCGTGCTATGGAGGAGATCTTTTTCGTCAATTTGCTTGAAGATCAAACAATAATTGATTGGTTGAATGATGTTCTTGAAGCGCATGTCCTAAATTGATGACTATATTTGACTTCATAATATTAATGAAAGATTTCAGGAGATTTCTTTTTAAAATTAGAGAAAATAAAAATCTGACATTTGATTTTCTAACTTTAGTTAGATGTATACTTTGTTATGTCTGGATAATAATCTCTGTTCTTTCATCTTTTTATAACAGTATCTAATTTTCTGGTATTGGCGAGATTCGACATAAACAGATTTAGGTTAATTTAAAATAATATACTTATAATCTTTAATTTATCTTTCTTCTACTGAATTTTGTATTCTATGGCTTTTATAAATGTCAATTTCAATGACCAAACTAGGGAAACTATAAGTTTTATGTTTGTATAGAGTTTTCTGTTAGTTTATTTTATTTGCATATAACAATGTATTGTACAAAAGCTATACATCACTATTCATTAGTTCCTAGCATTCATTTTTCATTTCATATTATTTATTTTATTTATTATTATAAAATTAGTAATCAATCAGATGAATAAACATTGCATACTTATAAGATTTTCACTGGATATTACAAGAAAATAAAAACTGATTTTGAAAAAGTTGAAGCAATTGATATGTAAAAGGGTTTTTCTAAGAAGTCAAATTCCGCCATATCTCATCAAAATCAAAATTTTCTTTTTGTTACTTCTCTTCTTTTGCATCAAACACACAGAAACACACATATATGTATATGACTGCAAATGTGTTGTTAGTAACATCAGGAAAAAGTAGAGAGAAAAAAGGTTCATCATCAAGTGCAAGTGCTTCTGAAAAGATGTTTAGCGAAGAAAATTTGAAGAAGATGGAAGGATACCAAACAGGGCCTGACTACATTGAGGTTTTATGTGGGTGCACAAGCAAATCTTCGGACACTATGGGCAGACTAAGAATTGATTCTGCAGGCAACTTCAAAGTCTCCTGTGAATGCTCTGCCTGTTTACCAGAAAGAAGCAAGTCTCTCTATCTATCTTGTTAATTGCCACGTTTTTTTCTTTCAGAATTTTTCTTCATGCATGTTTTCTCTATGTATATACAGTGAGTATTACACCAAATCAGTTTGAGAAACATGGGAATAAAGGAGCTGGTAGAAAGTGGAAGAAGAGCATCTGGGTTAAAATCAATGAAAAGAAAGTTGCGCTATGGAGGAGTGGTTTACTCAAGTACCACAAATATGGAAGAAAAAAGGTAGAGAAAAGGTCCAATATGGTGAAACATGATGAAAACAACCACCAGTTCCATCGTGATGAGTTCATTACTTGTACAAGATGCAAGAAAGAACGCCGCTTTCGTCTCAGAAACATACGTGATTTCAAGGCCTACCATGATGCCTTGGCTTCTAAAAGATGGAAGTGCCCTAAATGGCCTTATGAGAAGTGAGTTTACTTAAAACCCTCCATTGTTTTTTCATGAATGTATAATCATATATACACTTCTTGGGTACATATATATAGAGCTAAATTGCCTTATAGTTAACTTTTGTGGTTTTAGAATAAACTGTGATGCCGAAGAAGAGCGAACAAGTCGCAGATTGTGCAGAGGGTGTCCAATGTATCCGAAATGCGAGGGCTGCACCACATGTGTCTGCTTTGGGTGCAACCAGTGCCGCTTCAAGGACTGCGTATGTCGGACTTGCACTGATTTCATCCAGAATGCAGGGACTTAGATGGTATTATCTGATTTACCCTACAAACCCAAGAAGAAGAAGAAGAAGAAGATTTGAAGTGGGTTATGATCATTAAGTTCGTAGTAGTTTCTTTTTCTGCACCGAACTAGTGCTTCTATTTTAGTTGCTTTGTGAAGTTAAGAAAACTGTCTTCGCCCTTTGGAACCTAACCATTGCCAAACTTATATTCCATGGGTTAATCCTACTCTATATGGATAACTTGTGCGAGATCTAGTTTATCTGGTACTATGGTTCAATCTTATGTTTCCTGTTTGTGCTCAAGGTTTTGGAGTTGAAATATCAGACTGTGTTACTATCTTGCCTATGTTTATGAGAAATTTAAATTAGCCTTATAATTATGAGATATATGAAGTACATCAATAGTTTATTTGGGTTGCTAACTGTCATGTGAAGTTGCCCTAGATCTAGCAGTTGGCAACTTGTGATATTGAATTGGAACTTATTTGGTTGTTGATAATGTAAAGAAGTTTTGCAAACTCTATTTTTCTATTGAGTTCAAAAGTTTATATTTGTGCATGCCCGCCCTAGTTGGCTATTCTTCTATTCAAGTGGGTTAATAGAGTTCTCTTACTGCTCATTCTATAGTTGCATGGTAATTGCGATCTCTATCTCGGCTTCGTTTCTTGAAGGAACACTAAGGCTGGTTCATATTTGATTAATCCGTTTGCATATTACTCTCTTCGTCTTAACTCTATCGAGACATCTTACGTTCCGAAAACTAATTAACATGGTTGAAAGAAATGGAAACACACAATACTTGAAGGGAATCCACGGCACCTATATACCACACTAGTTAGGGTTCATTCTTGTCCAATCTCTTGATTCAAGTTCCTTTAATCCTCTGATGATTTCTTTCCTTGGACCATAAAAAACTACTTCTATCTTATATGCTACTTCCAAAACCTTCTCTGTCTCATTCTCTTCCTTGTCCTTACTGCAAAATTCATCCTTGTCTAGAAAGCCTGAAAAAGGCCCAGCCCGGATGCCTAAACATGAAGTTTTAACCATTTCAATGGGAGCCAAGATCAAATGAAGACCGAAAAACAACGTCATTTACCTGAATCCCCATTTATCTCAAAGCGACGCCGTTTGGGATGAGCTTTAAAGGCAGCTCCTAAGGTTTCATTTTCGGGCTCCTTCTTCTGCCACCATGTCGTAGATGATGGCTAAGGGGAGAAGCGCAGCATGCTTCACGTTTCCTGGAGCCCAAAACCAGCGGAGGAGAGGGGAATCCTTCCTCAATAGAGAGAGGAGATTTGGCCGGAGATTTTTTTTTCTCTGTAGTGAACAAATTATCATTTGGTGTTCATTGTACTTCGACTTGGGAATTTGATTTAAGTTTATAATTAGTATACAATAAGAATGTTACTTATTTTCATCTTACCATTAGGGTGTAATTATTCATAGTAAATATAGCCAAATATGATAAAGATGAATTGATTGAGAAATTGGTAATTAGGTTTTTAGTTTTTAGTTTTTTTTTTTAAATTGTAATGTATTTCAAAGCTTCATTTTCTTTTGATTTATAAATACTATAACAAAATCAAATATAGATGTATAGATTACAATCACACACATCTCTATGGTAAGTATATCAGTAATGAATAATAAATAAATAATAATAATAATAGTAATTGTTATAACAGTAATAAAAAAATAAGACATATTAATTACAACTTATTAAATTATATCGAGAGAAGGGTATCTAACAAATTTTCAACTTGTAAAACTTTTCGTATTAGAATCTATAAGAAAATTTAATTAGTGAACTATTCTTTATGCAGCACCTGGTCGTGCTTTTAATAGAATAGGTGATGATTTCAAGCTTTTAATTTTATAATTTTTGTGAAGCTTAGACTCCAATGGTTTTAAGAATAGTGTAGTGTTCTCTTATATAGCTTCACATTAGAAGCCATAGGACTGAAACACTAGTTAACAACTACCCACTTTTATTTGGTCAATAAGTTAAGAAAATATTGGTATCGATACATAACGAAGCTATGGCTATGACATGCTTGGATTGTTACAAGAGAGACCCATGTCTTGTTGACACTATTGATATTTCTCTTCAAGTATTTTGGCAACATTTGGATTATATTATTTGCCATATAGGCCTTTAACTTTCAATCTATTGTTTTGTTAATAGTTTTTTTGAAAAAATCTTAAAGAAACATGATGAAAACTCAAAAGAATTAATTCCAACAAATCCCCATCTCAAAATTATGAATCTCAAGGACAAAATAAACCTTAATATCTTAGAATATATACTATATAAGATAATTTAGCATTTTTCCACATTGGTTTTTAGATTGTGTTATTATATATGTTACATAATGTTGGAAAAAATTAATATCTAAAGCATGCACAATCATACCAAAGTAAAAGCATAAAGAAAAGAACACAAATATTTTATATGGTTCGGTAGTGTGCATACATCTACAGGCAAGACCGACAATAAAGAATTTCACTATGTAAGCTGAAAGTATATGACCAATAGGTTAACAAACCTATTTATAGAGAAACTAACAGAGTTCTTCACAATTAAAAATTTTATAGGATATACATCAAATATTTTCTAAAATAAATACAAAGAAAATCCAAATAAATTATCTCCATAATATAGATAAATATCGCTAAAATTCAAGACACATCAACAAATCTTCTTCTTGGCTTGAATTTCCTCTATCATCAAAGCAGCTAATCATCTTGTTGCACCGTCTTTCCAACATGCCCCCACTAGGGCACTATTGAGTATCACATACTCCAATCAAGTTTAGGCCGCACCTAAACTTGTTATCTGATATCTAAACATAGTGACATCTGACATCAAGTTCTTCACACACAACACCAATCATCTTATCAGCATCTGAACTACCTAGTTCCTGCAAATCAACTGATCCCACAACTAACAAGTTATATGTAACCAGATTCTCATACCTCTGTAGTTGTCTGATCTGTCATCTCTCCTTGTCTGTTGCTATGCTATATGGTTGTTATTGACCAGGTGGACTATCCCATTCTTGATTAAGATCATGTACTT